CATAGCTCCGTGTGCTGGTCAGCCGGCCGCAGGGATCCTGGTTCCGTGGCACAGGAGGCTTTGTCCGGCTCCCGGCACCAAACTCAGGTGAGTCTCAGGCTTTGCTGCCTGGACACGGGATCGTGGGGGCCAGGACGAGGAGCCCCACTTTACAGAAAAGGGACTTGAGGAGCCCGAAGAGGGGCAGGGCCATAGCTGTGTGGATGGAACTGTTGCCAGGATCTTGGTCCTGCGACGGGGGGAAGGGGGCGGGAGTAGAGGTGGCGCAGGGCAAGGCTGCACACGATACCCTTGCATGGCTGTTTGTGGGTTTTTCCACCTAAACTTTTGTTAAAGGTTGTTTTTTTAATATATTTTTTTATTGATTTCAGAGAGGAAGGGAGGAGGAGAGAAAGAAATAGAAACATCAATGATGAGAAAGAATCATTGATCGGCTGCCTCCTGCCCGCCCCTCACTGGGGATCGAGCCCACAAACCGGGCATGTGGCCTGACAGGGACTCGAACCGTGACCTCCTGGTTCATAGGTCCATGTGCAACCACCGAGCCACCGCGGCCGGCCGGGCAGCCATCAGTTTATTGTCTGAGGCACAGCGAGGCTGTCCGTGGCCCGGGGCCCTCATCGGGGTGCATAACGGGAATTTGTAGAGCACCGTTACACCTGCCCATGACAGCTAGCATTTCCGTCACCCACTGACTCCCCTCCGCCACCCTGTCACTGAGGCAGGCCGAGGGGGGGTCATTCTCCCCAGTCCACAGATGGAGAGACGGAGGCCCCACAACACACACCAGGTTGTGCCACCGGCCCAGTCCTGCTGTGTCTGTGGCCGATTTGACAGTGACAGCGGGACGTTCCCCTTCTCGGTTTCAGGGGGAGATAGGGCGCGAGATGTACATCATCCAGGCGGGGCAGGTGCAGGTCTTGGGCGGCCCTGACGGGAAGTCCGTGCTGGTGACGCTGATACAGATGCAGGTGACACGCTCTCGCCTGCGTGGGGCGGACACAGGGGTGGAGAGGAAGACTGCAGGGTGAGCAGAACCGCAGCCCTGAGGGCCTCACCCCCTCCTCCCTCACCCCAGCCTGCTGGCGGTCGGAGGCGGGAATCGGCGCACGGCCAACGTGGTGGCCCACGGCTTCACCAACCTCTTCATTCTGGACAAGAAGGACCTGAATGAAATCCTGGTGCATTATCCCGAGTCTCAGAAGTTGCTCCGGAAAAAGGCCAGGTACTTTCCTTTCTTTTTTTCACTGACAAAGTTCATGGAGCCCTGGCTGGTTTGGCTCAGTGGGTGGAGCGTCAGCCCTCGGACTGAAGGGTCCCGGGTTCGGTTCTGGTCATGAGCACGCACCGCATTGCAGGCTCGATCCCCGGCCCTGGGTGGGGTGGGGCACATGCAGGAGGTGACCGATGGATGTGTCTCCCTCACGTAGTGTTTCTCTCTGTCTCCCCCTCTCCCTTCCGCTCTCTCTCTAAAAAAAAAAGTGCATGAATGCTTTTGTGTGCAGTCCTGAGGGACTAAGACTCCCTCTTCCATCGCTGTAGGACCTTCTGTGTTTCCTTTGGCAAAGACAGGCCGGTCCGCGAATGGGTTCTGAGCTCTGTTTCTGCCTTGTGCGGACAGTGTCTCCGGGGGCAGCCCCAGCTAGCACATGCACGTCTCAGGCAATTATCAATACGCACAATTCCAATCCATTGCCTCTGATTAGAGAAGCAGCCAGCCGGGGCCTCCTTTGTAAACAAACACGTTTTGCTGGAAGCCCGAGGAATGAATGGGCCAATTAGCAGCCTCGGCTCTGCTCGATCGCAGGCGAAATGCGTTTGTTCCTGAGCCAAGCCGCTCGTCATAAATGAGCAGTGTGAAGAATTCCTTATGAGAGGCGGCGGCTCCGTTAGATGGAAAATCTCTCCTCGTTTAGGGAAGCCGGGTGACATGCCGCATTTAATCTGGGTTGTTATTCTGTCTCGGCCACTTCCTAGCAACCTTGGGCACGTCACCCCCCTCCCCCCGCTTCTGGGCCTCAGTTTCCCCAGCTCTCATGGGTGCAGTAATCCCGCCCTTCCCATGTCACAGGCATGCTGTCAGCATCCAGGAAGAGCATGCCCATGAAGTTGCTGCGATCATTAAGGCCTGGCACGCTGGGGTCAGGGGTGTGGGTTTGAATTCCAGCTCGGCCACTTCCCAGCTGTGTGACCTTAGGGAAGTTACTCGCCCTCTCTGGACTTCCATGTCCTCGTTCGAAATGAGGGGCAATAACAGGACCTACCTGAGGACCCCGGGGAGACTTAAATGGCAGAGTGCGTTGTCAGTTATTGCTGCTGCCTAACAGTATTACCACAGACGCAGTAGCCTGAGGCCACACGTATTTATTATCTTGGAGTTTCTATGGGTCAGAAGTCTGGGGATGGCTGGGGCGGGCCCGCTCCAGGGCTGTAATCAAGGTGTTGCCAGAGCTGGGTTTCCTCTCAAGTTCAAGTGGGGAAGGCTCTGCTTCCACGTCACGTGGTTGTTGGCTGAATTCAGTGCTCGTGGTTGTAGGACTGGTGGCTGCCCTCAGGGTCTTGTCCCCTCACTTCTGTCCATGTGGGCGCTGGCTTCAGCAAAGCCAGCAAGGCTTGTCCTTGCAGATCACGGTCCTGTGTGACGTGTTCATAAATGTGACAGTTGACCACCCTCGCCGTGTTCTCATGATTGAAAGTAGGTGGCATGTCCCACTCCCCTCAAGGGGCGGGGATCACACAGACAGAGGCAGGAAGGGGGACCGCAGAGCCACCCAAGAGCGCCTGTAGAGGACTGAGCACAGGGCCGGACACGTACAGACGCTCAGTGAGGGCTGAGGTGGTGTTGCTGCTGCTGGTGACGTGACAATGAAACCAGAGAAAGAGAAGCAAAAAGCTTTGGGTCCTTTTCCATCTGGGCCTCTTACTTCTGATTCCATACACTGAAGTACCTTTGTTATTTCCTGTGTGACCTCAGGGAAGTTGCTCAACCTCTCTGAGCCTCCGTTTCCTCCTCTATAAGGTGGAGACAATAAGACCCACGTCTGTTGTTCTGATCGTTCAGTGAGATACTATGCACGAAGCCCTTAGTGCTGTGCTTGGCTCAGAAAATACACTCAGAAATGGTTTGCCAGCCCGGCCAGCGTGGCTCAGTGGTTGAGCATCGACCTATGAACCAGGAGGTCACGGTTCGATTCCTGGTCAGGGCACATGCCTGGGTTGTGGGCTCGATCCCCACTAGGGGGTGTGCAGGAGGCAGCCGATCAATGATCCTTTCTCATCATTGATGTTTCTCTTTCTCTCTCTCTCTCTCTCTCTCTTTCACCCATCCTCTCTGAAATCAATAAAAAAATATATATTTAAAAAAAGGGCTTGCCAAACAATCACCACCATACAAGTCCAACTCCAAGGGCACAATACAAGCAAACTTATCCTCTGTCCCTGAGTGTGCTGGGGACATGAGCAGAAGCTGCGTGCTGGGACATGAGTGAACACTGTGCTGTGTGCTGGGGACATTAGTGAACGCTGTGTGCTGGGGCCATGAGCGGACACTGCATGCTGGGGACATGAGCGGACGCTGTGCTGTGTGCTGGAGACATTAGTGAATACTGCACTGGTGATGTGAGCGGACACTGTGCTGTGCGCTGGGGACATGAGTGAACACTGTGCTGTGCGCTGGGGCCATGAGCGGACACTGCATGCTGGGGCCATGAGCGGACGCTGCTCTCTTGCAGGCGCATGCTGAAGAATAACAGCAAGCCCAAGGAGAAGAGCGTGCTCATCCTTCCTCCGCGGGCCGGCACCCCCAAGCTCTTCAATGCCGCCCTGGCCGCAGCGGGAAAGATGGGCGCCAGGGGGGCGAAAGGCGGCCAGCTGGCCCACCTCAGGGCTCGGCTCAAAGAGCTGGCTGCGCTGGAGGCGGCTGCCAAGCAGCAGCAGCTGCTGGAACAGGTATGTGGTCGGGAACCCGGCCACCGATCCGCGTCCCCTCTGTGCCAGGCAGAAGGAAGGCCGGGGACCTCCGCGAGGGGACCCACGGTCCATCCTAGGGGGGTGCTTTCCCTCCTTCCTGTCCGCAGGGCTCCTTTGGTTGCAAGGGACAGTGCAGGCTCATATTCACTTGAGAAGACAGAGTTTATGGGGTGGAGTAATTAAAAAGTCCGGGCAAGTGTTACCCGGAAACCCCCGGGTGGGCGCGGTCTGCCTGTCGCTGTGTCCGATAAGGAAGGCCGGGTTGAATTATACTAGGTGTTTATTGGGAAGGCCAGCCCACCAAGACAGGGCGCTTACAAGCATCAAACCCTGCCTTCCAGCAAGGTGCAGGGGGCAGGAGTATAAAGGGGAAAGGGCTAGGGTGCTACGTGCTGCCCTGGGGGTCCACAGACATCAGCTATTGTCTTCAGTCATTGATGAGATGATGTTGATGAGATGATGTTTTGACTCCTGGTGGGTCAGCCTGACCAAGCTTATGGGTTCTGCTTGCTGGGTTCGCAGCTGAGTCACCTCCTCCATCGCTCTGCACAGGCCTTGAAAAGGAAACTTTAAGAAAAACTTAACTCCCTATTCTCATATAAGAAACATAACCCCCTCTTCACATAAGCATATGTGTGCTGAGATTTAAAATATTACTTTTCAGATGAATTCAGGTGATAGGTCCCCCTATCACAAGGCTGAGTCCAAAGCTCAGGTGATGCCAACAGGGCGAGGTGTGTCATCTCTGTTTTCCTGGGAGATGACTCCACTCCCGGCTGGCCCCAACAGAAGGTGTAGCAGCTCCAACAGGAAGAAAGCACCTCCTTCCCAGTAATTCCAGCAAAAATCCCAGGGCTCGCTGTCATTGGACAGAATGGGGTCACATGTCAATTCCTGAGCCATTCAGTGGGCCCTCCGCAGAGGCCTGGCTCACATGCCCCGCCCTACGCTGAGGCGGTAGAGTGACTTTCCCAAAGGGAAGTCCTGGAGTGGGCAGCGAATGTCCCTCCCTCCCCAGATAAAAGTGATGTTCTCCTAGGTCATGTTGTGTCTGTCAAAAAGATTTGCAATTTAAAAGATTTGGAAAGGCGACAGGCACTGTGCAGACTGCTCCCGCCCCCATAAATCTAAAGGGAATTTTCAAATTAGTTCTGGGACGTTTTTTCTGTGACTAATGCCCAGAATGCCAATTAGAGTGATTGCATTAATTATGGCTGCTCATTGCGGTCCTGTAGGGAGGCTGCCGGGAAATGGGGGGATGGGCTTAGGCAGGAGCTCGGTGGCAGGGGAGGGGGCAGCAGGCCGTGGGAGACAATTCGGAGGAGGCCAGTGCACTTGGGCTCAGTGCAGGCTGGCGTCAGAGTCCGGGGACCCGCCAGAAGCCAGGGGACAGCGGGATCTGAGGAGTGATGCCTGGGTCTCCAGAGGCAGTCACACTGGCCCCAGGTTGAGGACAGACATGACTGTCTGGCTCGCCGCCTGGCAAGGGCAGCATCAAGAGGGCTAGTTGGGGTCTTTAGGGCCGGCTGAGCTGACAGGCGCTCCCAGAGTGTCCTCAGGACAGTGACCGGCTTGATCCGAAAAGGGCTCCTAATGTTCGCTCTTCACCGAGGCAGCTCGGAGACGGGAATTACATGTGCACGCATCTTCCAATAAAAGGCATTTCCCCTGCAATTCAGAACCAGGGCAGCGTGCAAGGGGCTCTTCCATAGCCATCCAAAGACACAGGTCCAAGCCCCGGCCCTGTCACCACCAGCTGCAACCTGTATAGTTCCTCAAGCCTCCTGAGCCCCTGATCCCTCCGGGTCGCCACATGGGGTACCAGGGATGAAGCGGGAGACCCGGGATGCCTTTTATGAAAGCATTTGGACCACGGCGAAGCCCTGGACCAACTGTCCCATGATCCTTCAGGTCCCGTCAAAGCAGGATGCTTCAGGAGGCCCCCTAGGGGGCACCATCTGGGCATCCTGCCTTGGGAGTGCCTGTCGGAGCTTAACGTGGGCAGGGGAGGGGGAACAGGGGTGACAAGCCTGCAGACACATGGGACAGAGGGAGGGACACGTCCCCCAGGACGCCTTGGGTTCTAGGAGCATCTTGTCCCCCACCCCCTGCTCCCCTTCCTTCAACACCTTGTGACTTGAGCCAACTTCAGGGGTCTCTGTCCCTTTAATTCCGCATGGTGACTGCTCTCCCTTTAACTCGGCACCATTTCAAATGGGACTCAGACATCCCCTGGGCTTCCTGGTCTGGGGGCTGCTCCCTGCAGGAGGGGCCATGGGTACCCACAAAAGCATGGGTTTTCAACCAATTTCCTATGATACACAGACCATGGCCAGCGTCCATGGGGACCCGCAGGCTGGAGGCTGGAGGTACCCACCGAGTCCCCAGACGTGGGGCTCAGCCCAGCCTACTGCCAGGGGCCTCTGTGGATCTCAGCCTTTGAGACCTTCCAGAAAGGGGGGCAGGCCACAGCTGCTCCAGCCCTCATTGGCCCTTCCCTCGTCTGGTTAGTTTTCCTCATCCCCCAAGGAGAGCGCAGCCCTGGGAACCAGGTGGGCAGGGAGAGGCTCAGCTCTGAGACGCAACAGAGGCCCCAGGACCTTCCAACCAGAGATTTTCATCCGTCAACGTCCCCCCTAATATAGCGTCTCCATAACTAACCCTGACGCGGCTCCGCCCAGCCCCCCACCCGCTAGTTGCACCTGCTGAGCTCGCCATCCTTTTCCGTGGGGTCCGACGCGGGGAACAGGGAGGTAGCTAAGATCCCTTGGACACTCTCGGCCTCACCAGTCACCTTTCGGGATTCCAGGCCAAGAGTTCGGAAGACGCGGCGGGAGAGCTGGGCTCCGCCGCCCCCGACCAGCCTGCGCCCCAGGAACCCCCGGCCCCAGGCTCTCAGCCACCAGCCTCGCCAGGGGGTGCCGAGGAGGAGGAGGCAGCTGGTCCCCAGGAGGAGCACTCGGTGCGGATCCGCGTGAGCCCCGGCCTGGACCCTGGCGAACAGATCCTGTCGGTGGAGATCCCGGAGGAGAAGAAAGAGGCGGAGTGAGGGGCCCACCCTGCCCAGCAGTCCAGCAGCCAAGGCGCTGGTCCACAGTGGTGGCCTGGGGGGCCCTCGGCTAACTGCTGGCCCTCATTCCTGATCCCACACCAGCTTCTCCCGGGCTGGTCTTGACATCACCCACTTTCCTAGTGTCCCTAAGTCCCACCGTCACCTGAGAACCCTGCCTCCCTTGACTAATATTTTCAAGGACAAATACATTTTTTTTCTAGTTTGCAAGTTCATAGGCAGAAGCTAGAATGGGGCTTTAACACCAGGGGACGCTTTGCTGGAGGTCAAGGGTTTTGAAGGTTGGGGGTTTCCCTTCAGGAATCTGTCTTCCATGTTCCAAGGACAGGAAATGTCCAGCAGAAAGGTGGGCAGTTGTACTGTCCTTTTTTTTATTTTATGAATTTTTAAAATATGTTTTTTATTGATTTCAGAAAGGAAGAGAGAGGAAGAAACATCAATGATGAGAGAGAGTCCTCAATCGGCTGCCTTCTGCACACCCCCTGCTAGGGATCGAGCCCACAACCTGGGCATGTGCCCTGATGGGGAATTGAACCATGACCTCCTGGTTCATAGGTCAGCGCTCAATCACTGAGCCACACCAGCCGGGTGAGCCACTGTTACTTTTCACTTGATTTATATGGGAGTGTCTTCCCTTTCAGCACATACAGGGCGTGCTTGTTTTGTTATAATTGCACTCTAGTCCGTGTCTGGAAATAGCGTAACATTGAACTGCTCTACCGTTGACATGCATTTGCATTATTTCCCATCTTATGCCGTTAAACAGAATGCTTCAATAGAAAATCGCACACAGACATCATTTCACTGGTAAACACTATTTCTAAATAGGAGAAATCTGGAGGTTTGGGCTAATTCTTTTTCTTCATCATCATTCCCATTTATCATTCTCATATTTGCACTAGGTATTCTAAAAGAGGTCCAAGCATAGAGAATGCTTTTATCCTGAGCAAGTACTTCAGATATATCAACACAGTCAGCGTATTGCCCTTCAGTAGATGACAACATGTTTCAAGCTCACCCTCTCTGTGAGATCCTATTTTATGAGGATTTGTTTGTTTGTTTTTAATATATTTTTTATTCATTTCAGAGAGGAAGGGAGAGGGAGAGAGAGATAGAAACATCAATGATGAGAGAGAATCATAGATTGGCTGCCTCCTGCACGCCCCCTACTGGGGATGGAGCCCACAACCCGGGCATGTGCCCTGACCAGGAATCTAACCGTGACCTCCTGGTTCACAGGTCGATGCTCAACCACTGAGCCATGCCAGCTGGGCTATGAGGATTTTTTTAATATGAATGTACTTATTCTTTTAGATCTTAACCCTTGAATATATACTGCTTATTATATAAAGCGAGAGATTTTTGAGGTTCCCAAGAATTGTCCTGGAAAGAAAATTGATTTTGAGACGAGATTAACAGTGTCTTAATTTCACTGAGCCATCTCATTAAACTGGACAATGTCACAGAACCTTGGATATTAGGTAGATTGAACTGGAGGCTGGCATTATCCTCCAAATAGAATCGGATGGGCTGATCGCCCAGGTGTGGATGGAACAACTCAGAAACACTAATTCTGCCACTGAACCAGGACCTATATTTATGTCTGTGGAATCGCTACTAATTTAAAATGTCTCAGCGTTTCCTGCACTCGGGTAGGAAATGAATAGCAAGCTATTTTTTCTAACTGCATAAACATTTTAAATAAAATTAAAACCAAGAAGCTGCTTAAAATTCCATTATCAAAATGCACTCAGCTCCCTGGAATAGTTTCAGCTGTTTTCTTAGCAAATGAGAGCCCCGCCTTTCACGCTGTGGCTTTTATCCCGTTCCCGTGCGTTTTAATTAAAAGTGGTTCAACCGACGCCCCTGGCTGGTGGATTCATTTCGGAAACTGGCCATGCACGACAGACACTTTTGTGAGAACTCCGCCCGATGGCCTGGCTCGGGCTCCCTGGCCCGTCTCCACTGCCATCCCGGGGGCCGCCCTCTGCCTGCAGTCCCGTGGCTGAGTGACATCCCGGTGCCATACCTTACCATCCCCCCCGGGCCCTAGGATTCTAAGACCCCCCTCCCCCCAAATACCCAGCCCCTTTATATCTGGTCTCACCTATTGGCCTCACCAAGCCTATTGGACTCATTCAGGGGTGCAGGGTGCTGACCAGCACGGGCTGTGGGTGCAGACTGCCTAGCGTCCCACCCCAGCAGGACCATGTCCGTGGACGACCATGGGCTGCTCTGAGCCCCAACGATACTCACCGCACAGGGCCACTGAGACGATCAGATAATAGACTGGCATCGCCCGTCGGAATGGGCATGAGGATGCCCCCTCACATTTCTTGGGGACGGGGGTTCCGCCCGTCTGCTACCCTGGGAGGAACCCCGAGAGCCCCGTCTTCTCTGACTTCGCCTCCGCCCTGGGTTACGCATAGAAAGGGCGAGATCGGTTCTTTCTTGCTCTTGAATGAGCGTTAGTGCTGAGGCCTGGACACATGTTAATTACAACAATCCAACTCACAGCTTTCCCCACTGTCCATGAATGTATTTAATCCAACTTCATACCCCCTCTCTCCCCCACCAAAGACCCTAAAACACCTTCACCAAGGCTCCCTGTCCTGGGCCTGTCACTCTGCTCCGAGCGAGGCCGGGACGGGTTTCACGGGCGGGTGACCTGGTGCTCCGAAGGGCCCTGCGCTTGAGTGCCCTGCTGTCTCCGTCTTTAAGTTCTGGATAATTCTGGACGGCGGGGCCCCTCCTGGAATACCACCTGCCGTCTGGACAGGCCAGCGGGAGAGGAGGTACAGTGGGCCTCGCACGCTCAGCCTCCACCTCCCACCTCCCAGCCACAGGGTCCTGCTTCCGTGGAAACGGTCCCTGTCAATCACGCATCGTGACTCAAACACGGTGCCTCCAGCCAGGCCCACCGGCCTCTTCTGGTTACGCTCCCGTTCAGTGCGCCTCCTCCTGGGCATGGAATGCTGAGTGTGACTTCCTCGCTGAGTGAACCCTGCTTTGGGAAGGCAACTGCCCAGCCTTGGAAACGAGGCCCCGGTGTAGCCGGTCACTGCTCTTCTGACCCCTTATGCCCGATACTCACTTTCCCCGCCTTCCCCGTGGCTGGGGGTGGGCCTTTGACCCGGTCCCAACCAATGAATTACGAAGGGAAGGGTGATGAGGCCTTCCT